CCGACCCTTGTGGTACTCCATTACGAGCCTCAAACGCAGAGGAATACCCTTCGCTAACTCTGACCCGGCATTGTCTACCTAATAGATACCACTTGATCCATTTGATTACAGTTCTAGGTACCGGCGTATTACCGAGTTTGGTCAGGAGAAGCACATGATCGACTTTATCAAACGCCTTGCTAAGATCGATTAAGGCTGCATGAACCGGCATGGAAATTGCGGGATGAACATTCCAGCTTCCTCTCTGTGCCATCTAAAGAACCATTGCCTCAAATCGATGAGTCTATGAATTTGAAATATTAAGGCCGTTTTTCGTCGGTATGATTCCAATGAGTTAGTACTCAACGTGTTTAAATGTTAACTATACTGTGGATACAGTTCCGTCCTGACGACTAATTACTTTCTGCTGCAGCATCCATTGGCCCATACGAGCTTGAGGTTTCGTTTTCAGTCGGAGTCAAAATACTTATTCCTCTTGTCTGTTTTATAAGATTTTTGAATGGGGCTCTCTGCGACTGAGTGCATGGTCAGGCTAAACTGATAAACTGTGATTGCTTTTAGATCAGTAAACGCTTGAGGATTACAGGAAACTCAGTTTTTGTCTGTGGTCACGAATATAAATACACTGGAAACCTATATGCATTTGGTTTCGGGAAGGCTGTTGTCGGCCTAGTCAAGTAAGCCACCGTCATCCAGTTTTGAGTAAATGATTAAAGACAGGTCATCAAACTTTTAGGTGACAGACTTGATCGCGTTGTTTGTTGTGCTCCACGACCAACGGACGAAGAAACTGCACAATTTCCCGAGTAAACATTACAAACCATCAAGTTTTCTTTTACTTAAAAGCCTAATCTTAATTAATTAATCGATCAAGTGCTCGACTCGTCTCCTTTCTAATCTTAGTCTCTTGTTGATTTTTGTGTCATTTTTATCTTTAGCCTTTTCTCACTCCGAGACACAAAATCACGTGGAAGCAAACCTGTCGTGGACGTCTTCCATGGACCTCGGACTAATGAGCCCGATGGGGAGGTTGTCAAAGCCTCTCTTCTCATGGCAAAACTTGCAAGTGAAATGACGACAGGAGATCTACTATTGGTTTGCATTACCGGCGGTGGTTCTGCCATGCTCACCCTTCCAAGCTCCATTCGAAGGGATCTTGACCCTGCAGATGATACTGCGAAAAGAATCCCTCTGCAGTCTATCGTGCAAACGTCGAGATTGTTCTCTTTGGCTGGTGCATCAATTCAAGAGGTTGTTTCCTTATTCCTAAAGGCCATATAATCTCTCCGTCTGTCTTAAATTTGACAAATTTTGCTGCAAAATAAGTTGCATAACTTCAAGGCTTCTTCAGAAGAAGATGCGATCACTGGAACAAGAGTCTTATTTGCCTGATGTTTTGGATTCCTTCGGGAATCCTTGATCATGGGTGATGATAACATAGTCGTGGTCATGCGCAGATGGGGTGGAGACATGCACAGGCTTGTTTTACAAAACCGCAAGTATTTCATGGTTAGTGCACTTTTGGCACAAAATCGTGGTTCGATAATCACCCCCTACTTGATAAACTGCTCTTGCGTAACAAGTACTCGTAGAGGTTACCGCCCACCTTTTCATTCCTTCATAGAACTTAATTTTTTAAATTTTTAATTTACCTGCGGAAAATTCGCAGTAAAAAAAGTGCAACTTACATTCGGCTATTAACGCATATTTGATTGACGTTGCTCGTCTTGGCTGCTCGTTTCTATCCACTTTTAAAAATTTCGTAATAACAGAAGTAAGAGCTTTCTAAAACTTCAAGTCAGGCGACTTTACGCTTTCTCATAAATGTCATGAGTGGGAACTAAATCAAGGTGTTAGTTGTCTACTGTAAGTCTTACTGCACTGTATTTCGACCGATTATCGCGTGAAACGAAACGCGCTCAGACCATAGAAGTCTTCCCAACTTCATTCACTTTCCTAAGCTAACTGAATTCATCCAGACAGTTTTAATGCATTTAGGAAAACACAAACCAGTCTTTAATATAACTTACTCTGTACGTTGGCAGCGGCGTTCGCAACTCTTAACAGTGCCCTCTGTTTAAGACATTAAACATAGACGGCGCCGCCCATTTTGATCGCAATATTTCCGTGAGATCTGCATGCCCTATCTTAAAATCAGGGTTTCTTAAGAGCTCTAAACTTCCTTGCGCTGGATGAAGTGGGTTTGCCTCTTTTAAAAATCATTAAATTTATATTTATACTGCTATTTCTATTTGATAATCATGCCAGGTTTCACACTTCCAGGCTAGATAAGAGATATGATGCAATTAAAACTGCTACAAGCATCTCTTGACGGTTGTTATCAACCTTCAGTTCCTTTTAACCCCTCCCATTCAATCTGGTTCTCAACAGAATTAGAGCAAACAAAATCAAGTATTGTGTTATCGTGATTTTTCTTATAATTTGACTTCTTTTGTTCTCGACACCGATTTCCACGTTGACTGAATCTGTATATGGGAATATAAAAAAAACGAAAAATATGTCTACAGGGTTTCCACGAAGTCTGGGTACATAGGGGATAAATACATACCTTTAGAACAAAACAATTTTATTTAATTATAATGTTAAGAAATTATATTTCCAAGATGATTTCCATTATTTGCAATGCATAATTCGATGCGCCTTGCTAAATTCTGGTAAACTTGATTGAATAGGTGTACATTGCCGTCGACTTCAGCACACGGCGTCAGTATTCACGGTCCAATCAGATAGGACGTAAAATCGATAATTATTGACGCGTTGTCAAGCCACGGCGTGGGACTTTGCGCTGCAGCTGCGCTGAGGCCTAAGCGTTGTTGACTAATCATGGGGCCCTGCCATCCCAACAAAGATAAGATAAATAAATAAAATATTAAAATTCCAATGTACCCAGACTTTGTGGATAAGTAAGCCAAACCCATCGATAAGGGAAGCTAAGATATGGCGACCGTTTAATATACGCGGTTGTAAGAAGTATCTGAATTTTCCTCTTAATTTAGATAAACAGTGTCCGAAGTTGCCTGGATGTAATGAAAGCCGGCGGACTAGCACGACTTGCAGCTCCCGCTCAGGTACATACTTTCCCTTTTGTTTGCTATCATTATTTTCTAAGGTTGTAAGTCTTATACTCTCGGATGTTGTTGGCGATCCCATTGAATTCATTGCGAGTGGGCCAACGTTTATCAGGGAGGATGATGCTGACTGTAACCCCTTTGTCCGCGCGCAAGCTGTCATCGATAAGTACGACCTTGGTTCTAAGGTAAGGCTAAAACCATTTATGTGGATAGAGAGCGATAACACTTAGGGTATCATCTTATAAAATAAGAAGATAAACATAACTTAAGTAATTTCGTATATTTCTCCCTAATCTATAGATAATAAAAAATACATCATGACGTCTAATTAGATTTAGTTCAGTGACCGTGTCTTCAGTATTTTCCTTATCCTTCAGGTAAGAGTCTTCACTTTATGGCATTGTCTTATTCTCTGAGTGAATGAGATCAAAGGCGAATATATCTATAACAAATTCAATCTCTTAAGCGGATTCTCCGGCGACAAACTCGCTTCTACGTTTACAGCACCACTCAGTGTAGTTCGTATTTTGGAAATGTGTCCCACCCCCGTATATTTATTCCTCTGTTTACTCACCAGATACCGGAACCTGTGAAAAAGTTTTTTGACGAGCGCTCTGACGTGGGCAATGCTTTAGCCCTGGTTGGACCTAAACCTGCGAATCACATTATTGGCAACATTAGTATGGCCTTGGTGGCCGCAGCTGAAGAAGCAGCCTCATACATTCCTGCCGGGATTACTTCTACTCCGTCCACTGTGGTTAAAGATCAACTCAGTCGTACCCCAGTAGATCAGTACCAGTAAGTAGCCCACACTTATCTACCTATCTGTCCTTTCCTCGTAGAATTAATAATGTTTCTAGCAAAGGAGAAAGAAATATTATTGTATTATACGAAGACAAGCAAAGTTTATCTGTAAAAACTAAATAGGACAGAGATCGACGTTACTTGAATGTTTATTTATGACATACTACTAGTATCAACTTCCATTTTCAGTCGTCTTAATTTTGTCTTGACACTGGAACCGGAAGATTTTAGTAAGCAAGAGTGGGACTGATGATGCGTAAGTCTTCCAGACAGTTCACTGCTACATCATCCTCATCGCTTGCAATGGACGGCCCGTTACTCCACTGCTTGTGGTCCGCCTGGGCTATCAGAACGGACTTCTGTAATTGTGGTAAGTGGAAACATCTGAAGGGTCGCTGGTTGGAACTTTTCCGTCCTACTGGAAGGATTCAAAGCAAATGGTTTACCTGACCAACGGTCAAGAACATAGGGAGGGGCAAGCATTTTTTCTAAAGAGCAGGTCACGGCACGCCGATTTTAGATTTAGTGAGAAATACACCTTCCTGGAACTTGTGCACGTGGTATTTATAGCTTCTTTATCGTTCGAAGCGGTCGTTTTTATAGAAAACAATGTACGCCCAAGTGCGTTTCATCCTCCTGTATCACTCGAATAATTGCTTTTTGATTTGCTGAGAAATCCTTTCGGTGACAATAAAGGTGGTCTACTACCTTCGATACTATTAGTCCTATGGTGTTAGTTTTATTAGTTTTACTTCAGGTTTAGTTATTTAAGTATATTTATTTAACTTTGACCATATATAACTAAACTAAAAACTGAACTAAACTAATATTACCAGCCCTGTAAGACAGGATTCTGGGGCTTGGGGTTTCTAAGATGGTAGACCAACTTTATTGTCACCATTATTTTTTTGTCCCAGTCAGAAGGTTTCATTTTCGAAGCAGTCAAAATGACCCTTGAATTAGTATCTAGGAATAGCTAATAAAAACTATGATGTTTTCCGTTGTTTTACAACTAGTAAAATTGAATTGTCGTGATACTTGGTGGTTATGCCGAGAAGTAAGAATACCGGTTTCTCCTCATTTCCTCGTAGCACATTTTCTCTGCCCTTGTTTCATCTTCAACAGCCAATGATACGGGCTCTTGGATATCTGACGTCACTGTCTTTTATTACCTCGAATCTACGCACATTTAGACGACTCCCAAAGGGAAGATGTTACCCACCATCGAGCCGATCGTAGCGCATCGCGCCCAAAATGATTGGTTTCTTCTTCTTTATTCGCATTCCACTCTGCCTGTGGCTATATGTCGTGTACACAAACATCTAGAGATTTGCAAGTAAATAGTGATATAGAGTTCCCCAGGTTTCTTGTTTCAACCTCTGTGATTTACCAGGGAAAAGGACATCCGATTCTTTTGAAATTGCGTACACATTTATATATATTCTTGTGTATTTTGAGGGAGAATTCGGCGAGTTAGCATCGTAGCCGAACAACCTTTATTACGGGTACTCGATCTGTGTAAGTACCGCGTTCTAGTGTTTTTTCATAGTTGGAAGTTGAGAATATGTTCATATAACGCCACGTAAATAACCCGATTAATCATATTCATGTGTTTGACGAACTGTTGTGTACAGTTCTTTCCGTTTGAGGGATTTTTAAACTTTGCGTTCTGGTTCATCTATCCCACTAAGCGTTAGGATCGAGAATCTGACGTGGTAGGTTTGACTTTTAATTAAAATTCCATGGTCTTCTTGGCCGGTATAATGTTCCAATGGGATTTTCGACTGTTCCTATCGTTCCTTGCGGAAAAATCCATACATCTGCACGTTGCTGTGGGTGCTTATGCTTATGTGTGTCCCTGTTACCCTTGAAAGCGATATTTTTTTATAATTTCTATCTGACCTGCTTGTACGTAAATAAAGTACTTTATTTGTTCCTAGGCTTCTACTGCCTATCGTACTTACCGGAGACCTGACTGGGGATATGCAGGAGAAGGCGGACGCGGTTGCAGATCTCGCGTGGCATCTGCGATATTTCATTCAAACAATCATGCGAACTCCAAACTTCATTTTCAGCGATATAACACCAGAAATGGTACGCTAATAGAATACGCCCCCACAAGAACCATCGAAATTTGTTTGTCTCAATCTCTGAGGTTTATATTATGGTCGAAAGTATTCCTCCAATTATTTAATTTTTAAAATAGAATGTGCTTGTCGCCGTTTTTATTTGGACACTTGAGCATCCATTTTTAGCTGGTACTTTTACTGAGTGCCACTCTTCCAAAAACATTCTATAAATGCATCTAGTTTTGAGCGCTCTCTCCTCCGAACTCGAACTGCTTAGAAGGAATCGCCACCACCAGGAGTGTCGTGAAGAATATTTTTTTATCTTCAACTCTCGCGTACATACGTAGTTTTTTTAAGTTTCTGGCCTCTGGCTTCCATGTGTGGACCAGATGGAATTTACTGACTGTTCAGTTTATCATTCACTTAGATGACTTAAAACGTAAAAACCGTCCATGAAATAGTTGATGATATGTATTCTTTTCGGTGGTTCGCATGAGGGACTCTATCATAGACTAATGCCTTAAAAATCATGGTAAACTGCCACCCACAACAGCAGTTGTCCACATTTCACCCTCTGTGTTCTTTACCCCTACTACTACTCGGGTTTACCCCCACAACTTGCCTAATTAGAAACGTCGAAGAGGGGGTCAACTCAAAACCTGGCTCGACT